ATATGTCGCTTATATTTTGTCTGGTCTAGAAAAACAAAAAGGGTCTTCAAGTGTTTGGAAAGCCCAAAGGCGCCGGCGCTTGGATCTGAAAAGTGATGGAGATGGGTATCTCCTTAAAGTTGTGCATATTGATTAATGTAATTGCTTTCTTTACTGTGGATGCCTCTGTTTTACTTCTCTTCTTGTTTGATATTTTTGAATGGCCATTTGGAGTAGTTGGCTGTCAAATCCAAAGGAACCCTATCAAGTTTATGCAAAACTGTACCTCACACTATTGAGGACATATTCTATTTATATTGGCAAAAGATTAACTAATAGATCCGATTTCATAGGAAACTAACGAAGTAAGCCTATTCTTATGGCATGACTAACTTCAAGCTATTCTAATGGATTGACCAATTCTAACAGTCCCCTTCAATCCCAACAAGTCTTGTACATGTTGAGATTGTTACAATGTGTAGTAAAAGGAGTTTTAGACAGTGGTTTTGTCAGGATATCAGCTACTTGATCACTTGATGAAATGAACCGAACTTCCATTGCTTTACGTGCTACTTGTTCTCGAACAAAATGAAAATCAACTTCAATATGTTTCGTTCTAGCATGAAATACTGGATTTGAAGTTAAATATGTAGCTCCGAGGTTGTCACACCAGAGGCGAGGAGCCTTTGATTGATACACGCCCAGTTCCTTCAGTAATGACTTGATCCAAATCATTTCTGCAGTAAGATTCGCAATGGCCTTGTATTCTGCTTCGGTGCTTGATCTTGACACTGTAGCCTGTTTTCTGGAACTCCATGAGATTAGATTTGCTCCAAGAAATACAGCAAAGCCGCTAGTTGAACGTCGATCATCGGGACAACCAGCCCAATCAGCATCAGAAAACCCCGACAACATCATGGTTGATTTCTGAATTTTCACTCCTAATGCTAGTGTGCCTTTAACATAACGAAGAATTCTCTTCACAGCACCCCAATGAGCATCAGTAGGTGTATGAAGATATTGACACACTTTATTGACAGCAAATGCCAAATCAGGCCTAGTCATTGTCAAATATTGTAGTGCTCCCACTGTACTTCTGTATTTGAATTGTTCTTCAGCTGATAAGGGTATTCCTTGTTCTCTGAATAATTTTTCAGCAGAACCCATTGGTGTAGACATAGGTTTGCATTTTTCCATGTTTACTCTTTTCAACAAATCTAAAGCATATCGTCTCTGTGACAGTATGATACCATCTCGTGTTTTCTTGACTTCAATACCCAGAAAATACTCAAGATCACCCAAATCTTTTACTGCAAAATCTATTTTCAATTTCTGAATCAACCTTTCGGTTGCTTGATCAGAGGAGCTCACAATAATTATATCATCAACATAGATGAGCATATAGATAGTTATCTCTCTGTTTTTGAGAATAAAAAGAGATGAATCAGCTACTGAAGCCTTGAAGCCTAACTCAATAAGCTTTCCAGTCAACCTTGAATGCCAAGCTTTTGGGGCTTGTTTCAGGCCATAAAGGGCTTTCTTGAGCTTGCATATGTAATTCTTTGGTTTGGCTGAGTCTTGAAATCCTGGTGGTTGTCGCATGTACACTTCCTCTTTCAGAATTCCATGCAAAAATGCATTTTGGATATCAACTTGTCTCATATTCCAGCCCTTGGTTACTGCTAGCGAAAGAATGACCCTGATTGTTGACGGTTTGATCACAGGGCTAAAAGTATCAGTGTAATCAACACCAAATCTTTGCTTGAATCCTTTGGCAACTAATCTTGCTTTTAATCTTTCAACTGACCCATCTGCTTTTCTTTTCACTTTATACACCCATTTACTATCAATGAGATTTATTCCAGGTTTGGGTGGAACTAGATCCCAAGTGGCATTTCGTTTTAGCGCTGAGAGCTCATCATTCATTGCTCCTCTCCATCCTGGATGTTGCATGGCTTCCTGCAGGTTTCGAGGTTCAGTAGCAGTCTCTATGATCGGAGTTGTGATAGTTACAGCGCTTGCGAATTTTCTTGAGGTTTCTGAATATCTGATAGTTCCATCAGTGAATTGTTTAGCTTGTACAATGTTATTTCTCAACCTTGTTCGCATTGGATGTTGACTAGCTGCTTCAGTTGGTTGATCAGACACATGTTCATGAGTTTGGTTTTGAGCATTGATCGAACTGCTCTCAGCTTCATATTCTGCAATTTCCTCTGAACTTCTTGTATTATCTGCAGAAGATAAGCTGACACCAGACAAGTTGTCACTAGCAATATTATCAGTTTGACCATCATTCATATGGGAATTACTAACAACTGGTTCAATATCTGTAAGAGCATTTTCAGTGTAAAAACTAGCAAGTTTGGCTAAGGCTGGAAGTAGAACAGGATGATGTGGATTTGTGGTTTTGTTTGGTGGCTTAGATTCTTCAAAAGGAAAAATATTTTCATCGAAAACCACGTCTCTAGAGATGTAAATACGTCCTGTACTTCTATTTAAGCATTTATATCCCTTATGAGAAGAACTATAACCCAAGAATATACATCTAGTAGTTCTGAAACTCAGTTTCTTGTTGTTGTAAGGCCTTAAATTAGGCCAGCAAGCACAGCCAAACACCCTAAGCATGGAGTAGTCTGGACTTTTACCAAACAATTTATGAAGTGGTGTGTCTTGTTGTATGGTTCGGCTGGGCATTCTATTTATAAGAAAGCAAGCTGTGTTGAAAGCTTCATCCCAGTAGGATAGAGGCATGTTGGCTTGAGCGAGTAAAGCAAGGCCAGTTTCTACAATGTGTCTGTGTTTTCTTTCGACTAACCCATTCTGCTGGTGTGTGTGAGGACAGGAGATATGATGTTCAATGCCTGTGGATTTGAAATAATTGTGTAACCGATGGTATTCACCCCCCCAATCTGATTGGACGGAGCGAATTTTGGTATTTAGCATAGTTTCAACATGTTTTTGAAATTGAAGGAACACAGACTCAACATCAGATTTGCATCTCAGAAAGTAAATCCAAACATAACGACTAAAATCATCAACAAAGGAAACATAATATTTGGAATTATTTACTGACGCAATGGATGGACCCCATACATCAGTGTGAATTAATTGAAGGGGTGCTGTAGATACATGCTGAGAAGAACCAAATGGCAATTGATGTGCTTTCCCTAATTGACAAGCATTACAAATTGAGGAAGAGGGAATATTAGTATCTATAGCTAAATTATTATCTTGTAGAATTCTAATGGTAATTGGAGATGCAGGGTGCCCTAGCCTTCTGTGCCATTGTTCTTTCGAAAGTTTGGCTGTCAGCAAGGCTTGACTGAAATTATGCGGTAGAACGTATAGGCCATTCTTACATCTACCGTGGAGCAGGAGTTTCTTCGTGACTCGGTTCTTAACCAAAAAATAGTTTGGGTGAAATTCTACAACAGCATTATTATCAGATGCTAGTCTTTGTACTGAAATTAGGTGCTTATTGATTTTAGGAGCATATAGGATATGTTTCAGAACAAGAGATGAACCAGAAATTAATGAATTCCCAATATGAGAGATAGACAAACCTGCGCCATTTGCAACCTGAATTTGGTCGGTGCCAGTGTAGCGTTCTCTGGTGGTAAGCCTCTCTAGGTCATTGGTGATATGATCTGTGGCTCCAGTGTCAACATACCAGTTTGTGTCACTAGTGTATCCACTAGTTGCCAAAGCTGCTTGTTTGAGATTATTTTCGGCTTGATATGCCTGATCAAATCTGTGCCAGCATTGCAAAGCATCGTGATTGGGCTTACCACAAATCTGACAGACAATGCCTGAGCTGCTTTGTGTCTTTGATGGTTGACGTCCAGGATTGTTCACAGTACGCCTTGATTGTCCATGACCACTATTTAACTGACGACTACGACCGCGACTACCTCGACCTCCATTGGCACCTCCACGAATGGATATCCTATTGACATTGTTAGCAGATGAAAGTTGCTCAAATGTACCCTTACGCAAGTGCCGCATCTCATAGCTCAGCATGTGAGCATACACGTCGCTGACAGTGTATACATCTGTTCTGGTTGTAATGCTTGTGACTAGAGGATCATAATCTGGACCAAGTCCTTGCAGCATGTAGGCGATGAGTTCTTCATCCTCTATTCGCTTGCCAATGGCAGCAAGTGTATCACCAAGATGTTTTACTTTACGAAAGTAGTCAGCAATTGTCATGTCCTTTTTCTGGATAGTAGAGAGTTCCATACGGATCTGCATTGCTCTTGCTCGAGATGTGGAAGCAAATTGTCGCTCCAGCGTAATCCAGGCTTCTCGTGCAGTGGTGATTCCAACCATCGTGCTGAGAACCTCCTCAGTGACTGATGAGTTGATGAGGCTGAGTACCAGCTGGTCCTGGGGGTACCAGACTGTGAACTCAGGGTTGATGATAATTTTGCGATTCCCTGTTTCTTCACTTGGTTCAACGGCGATCGTCTGGCTTGGTGCAGGCATGGATCCATCCACAAAACCAACAAGGTTTTGGCTACGCAAGTAGGGAAGGATTTGGGTAGACCACAGTAGATAATTTTCTTGTGTAAGCTTAACACTAATCACCTGACTGATCGACGGAGAAGACATTGTGTTGATTGGGATTGACATGTTTAACAGCAGAGGCTATGGATCTCGTGGATCTTATTTGAGCTCTGATACCATATCAAGTTTATGCAAAACTGTACCTCACACTATTGAGGACATATTCTATTTATATTGGCAAAAGATTAACTAATAGATCCGATTTCATAGGAAACTAACGAAGTAAGCCTATTCTTATGGCATGACTAACTTCAAGCTATTCTAATGGATTGACCAATTCTAACAAACCCCATCAAAAAAAAAATCAGAAAGAAAAAGTCTTGTAGTTTAATGAGACGGTGCTTAGGTTTACATATCAGTGGCCCCAGGTGATGACAGGAAAAGGCTGAATGCCGGGGAGGCTCTTTATATCCTCTGGTTTTCGTTAAATTATTTATCTCCATTTAAAAAAAAATGGAAAAAGAAAATAAAATAATTGGGCCGGATTATTGTGGACCAAGAGCCCATTGCGTGGTTATTTGGGCTGGCCCATCAACACGAGGAAGAAGGCATTTTTGGAGAGGAAAAATAATATTAATATACGGAAGTAAAACCCTTCCGTTCTTCGTCTTCCAAAGGGCCAAAACCCTACTGTTTCTGCAAACAAATTCGTCTTCCTTGCTATTCCAATTAGAAAAATGGCTTTGAATTCGATTCTCCGTAGGGCTTCCACGTCGGTGTTTCCCCTCGCCCTACGCTCGGTTGCGACTCCTAGAAGCTTCCACCATGCTATCTCTGTGGCTATCACTATTGGGAACCGTAGTTTTAGGAAAGAGCTTAACACGGATTTCTTTCTCCCATTTTTTCGTTCTTATTCGGCCGCGTCTGCCAAAAACAACGCCGAAGTTACTCTTATTCGAGTTCTTGAGTCTGAAATTAAATGCGCCGAGGAAGATGATCAGAACAGCGTAACTTCTCTCTCAGTTGCTTATCAACCCATGTGAATTGTCCGTTATTTTGTTTTTCCTTTGTGCGCGAGATGGAGATCTTTGTACTCATGTCTAAAACATGCGATGCATTATTGAATTTCTCAATTTAGCGAGTTTTTCTCTTCCTTGAGCTGATTTCTGAAATTGATCGAGTTCATTTAGTCTTTTAAGTTTTTGAATTCTTTTGCAAAAAGCATTCAATTCATGTTCTTATGAACTTTGGATCTTTCGTAATGCCTACTTCGGTCCATCCCATGAGAACCTTGTGTAATTCATGGTGGGTGCTTTAAATGTTACTTCTGCACAATTCCTAGTTCCTTGCTAAGACACTTTGTGCTTTCTGGATGTGTAGAAGTACGATTTGTACTTACGAACTCGTAAACTGTTGTATTTTACTCTTCCTGTATATTTGAGTGAATTTATTGGTAAGCAATATCCATCATGCTTGTGGCTTTTACTTTAGCGTTGTTCCATTTTGTTCTTCTTTTTCTGTTTAACAAGAACTTCGCTTGAAACTGAGATTTTCTTTGGTTTACGGCCTTTTGTAGCAATTTTCCTGTCATTGCTCGTTATAAGTTTTCATTATCGAAAATGGTCCTGGACAATGTGCTTGTTCCCCTATAGATTCAAGTTCAAACACCCTAGATTCCGAGCCATCCTTGTCCTATATGATTGGTGATTTTGTGTTAGTTTAAGATCTAAGAAATATTTCTCCTTAATGCGTTATGGTGACCCTTGGGCTGCCTACTTGATGTCTAAAACAGTTTACAGCCTCGGTTCTCTTTGAATATTATCATTGGAAGTTTGTAACGATGGATGCTCTTGTATTGCAGGTAGACGAAATTCCAGAAGAGTTTCCTTTTGAAATCCAAGACAATCCTGGACAAAGAACCATATCACTCTATAGAAAGTATGAGGATGAAAGTATCAAAGTTGAAGTTGATATTCCTAATGTTTCAGCTGAAGATGAAGAAGAGGATAACGAAGCTGGTGAAAACGATGAGCAGACTCGCGAAGAATCCAGCATTCCCCTGGTCGTGAGTATTTCCAAGGATAGTGGAGAGTGTCTTGAATTTGGCGTTACTGCCTTCCCCGATGAAATATCTATAGATCATTTGTCAATCAAGAAACCAGATGGTTCTGAAGACCAGCTTGCATATGAAGGACCCGAGTTCCAGTTAGTCTACTTGGCCTTTGATCCTTGTTCTTTTTACCCTCTAGAGAAAATTTGTTCGCTAAATAAAAATTTCCTCCTACTCCTTTGCAGTGATTTGGACGAGAACTTGCAGAAAGCTTTCCACAAATATCTTAAGGTTCGTGGGATTAAACCCAGCACGACAAATTTCTTGCACGAGTACATGGTCAACAAAGATAGCCGAGAGTACTTGATGTGGCTGAAGAATTTGAAATTTTTTATTGAGAAATAAATAACCAGCACTGATTTTTTTCTAGAGAAGGGTCATGACTTTTATGACAGCATTATTTAGGGTTTGTATTATGATGCTACGTAGGGAGGGTTTGCCTACTATCCTGCGAACTATATAAGTAGTAAATCATTATTTTAATTTTAAAGGATTGGGAGGAAACTCCTGCGAGTTATTCCGAAAGATTTGCATATACTTTTACGTATATTTTTGCACCCTTTGAAGTGCTAACAGGTATTGTGTGACGTAGGTTTGAACATTTTAGCCTTTTGATCGATAATTAGATGATCGATATTGTGTGATATCGGTAAGCCATGAAATGATCAATTTGATATTTCCTCCAGCACGTCCATTTTTTTTTTTTTTTTTTTTGAATTATTTTGTGTGTTTATGATTACAAAAGTAAAGCAAAAGAGTTTGCGACTGAATCTAAGTTGAAATCTTAGCTCAATCTCTAGATTGCAATAAAACTTAAGGGAAATAACTGACAAAAATAAATGTGAGATGATAACATGGGCTGGTATAAGAAATGAATCTTGAAGAGCATTGTGGCGACTCCCATCAATTTTTCTGGGTGAGATCTTTGTGGATGTAGGTCACTCCTTTGTCGCCGTTCACTACTTGCCCACTTCCCCTTAAAATCCTACATTTACACAAACACACAACATCATCACCAGAATGGACTTTAAACTTGCCAAACCATCCCTGTTTTCAAACATTATTTGGAGAAATCATTTTACCATCTTGTTGTCAACAGTCCTTCAACTCCTACTGGGCCTCGCGCATGAATCCTACTGGTACTTACTCCCACCTGTTCCGCCGTTACACCCAGAAATCAGAAACAAGTACAGATTTGATCTTGGTTTTTCGGCCATGAATGTTTGGGAATGGCTTACCTCTGCACCAAGTCCAAACCGAGCTCCATCGCAGAATCGTGTACTGGCATTGTGGAATACAGCAGCACTGTTGCAGAGAACAGGAAACACGAGACAACCCTTGAAACTCTAACCTCCTCTTGAACAAGTTAAGAGCACTAAAAAGGTAGAAGCAGCCATACCTATCGACTTGATTCAAGAAAATTTCAGCAACTTCCTGGTCTTTGGTGATGATACAGTCTGTATGCGAGCTGCCATGATAAGAGTAGGGGGTTAGTTTCAGTTCACTATTTCCTTGAGGCAAGAAACAGAGCTAACATGTGGGAGATTCTGTCACCTTCCATATTTATGTATGTGGTCAATGGCAGCAAAGACATCATCCACAATTTCAACAGTGCAGGTCACTGAATTGTACTCGTGGTGGAATGAGCTTGCCTCGCTGATTCTAAGTAATTGACTAGCTCGTTGTCCCCCATATAGAGTCACACCTGCATTAGAAACCAATTAGACTTGAGCAACAAAAGGTCCATGGCCATACATCGAGCAATCGATACGAGATACGTTAAAGAGGAAGTGGTTCATCTATACCATCCTTCCGCAGTTCGGCGACGAGTTCCATAAGTCCTCCATTACTTGCCAAGTCCTTGTGTACTAGAAGTGTTTCCTGAAAAAACATTAAGGAATGCACATTATATAGTCAAGAAGATGAAACATTTTGCAGACCGCAGATAGCCCTTTGAAACAAACAGACCATTGCGTTGCAGGCTGCTGGATAATCTACTTTCGAATCGGACACTATCCGCTTTGCCATCTCTATATCAGCTGATTTGTCGACATAAACATGACAGATACCATCTGTGCAGGGGAAAAAAAGAGAAAAATCTTCATTAGTAGATCTGGTTTGCAGAGTACATATAGCATATCGCGGCGCTTGATGTCTCACCAGAATGGCCAAGAACAGGAATCTTTGTGGATTCTTTAATCTGAGACACAAGTTTGTTACTTCCTCTTGGAATCACAAGGTCTATCACATCATCAAGCTGAGCCATCAAGTTGTTATAAGAACATTTCATTCAGTGCTAATAAGCAGCATTCAAGCATAAACAACTTCTTTCCCTCCTAACCTTGAGCAGATCAGGGATCTCTTCTCTTGATGTTACAAGTCCAATAAGTTTTCCACCTACGGTGTCGGGGATGGCCGACGTGATGACCTAACCGAAGTCGAAATCAATACGTTAATGGGAAGGTACATTGAAATAAGCCAATAATGAAGCTAGAATAACCAGGTGAAAATGAACCTTATGCAGAGCTGCATTTGATTGTCTGGCTTCTTTCCCTCCTTTAAGAAGTAGACCATTTCCGCTTCGTATTGCCAATGCAGCGATCTGTAAGGCAATGAGCTTCAATTATAGCGTACTCACAACAAGCAGAACGATTGAACTGAATCATCGAGAGCATTAGACCTGAACTAGAGCATCGGGCCGAGACTCAAACACAACGAGGAGGACACCCAAGGAGCATGTGGTGTTCTCTAAAATAAGATCACTCGCAATCTGAATGGAGTGACAGAGATATCACTAGGCATAGTAGAGGAGCATCATGAACTCAAATATAACAGTAAACATAGAAAAAGAAACAAGTTCTAAGAAGAATTGCTACTTCTCTTCTTTTCAAAATGCGACCAATTGGTTCTTCCATGTCAGCTATTTTTCGAATGGAGTTTGCAAGAAGCTCAATCTGTAAAAAATAAAAAAAAACATTTAGTTTTCTTCCCATATGATCAAGAAAAAAAGACATGGTTATGAAGGATATTGAAGCCATGGATGAAAAATCAGTACTCTTCCAGGCTTTAGAGCCAAACGAGATATGAGAGACTTCTCATATCCAGCCTCCTCTGCAGCTTTAATATCAGCACAGTTCTCAGCTATAATCATATTTTCATTATCTTGAAGGGCATTAGCTACATCCAGCAATATCTTTCTCCTATCTTCAGACTTGAGAGCCTGGAAACAAAAAAACAAAACAAAACTTGAGTCCAAACTCGTATAACTCAGAAGTTATATCAAAGAAATTTGTTCCCCTGACCTGAAGCCGCCTTGAACTTTCCCGTGCCTCGACCGCCATCTCTCTTGCAGAAACTTCTTTAACTAGAGTCCACAAATGGGCATCTTTGTGGAAGAGAGTTCCTTTCATCTCGCCTTGGAGTACTTTGATTATGTTATCAGCGGCAAAACCACTGCACCAGAAATCAGATCAGAATTAGATTGAAATATCACAGCTCATTTGAGAAGATGGGGTTGAGTTAATATGTACCTGGTAATGACAACAGGAATGCCAGCACAAGAAGCACAAACAGCAGCATTAACTTTAGCAGTCATACCTCCTCTGCCGACTCTGGATTTGTCACCAAATGTTATTTCCCCTAAATGTTTCTCTTTAACAAAAGTCTGGATTAGCTTTGAGGTTGGGTCAATTGGAGGGCCACTATAGAGGCCTTCAACATCACTCAGTAACACCAGAAGATCAGCTTTGAGTTCTAAAGCTAATAGACCTGCCAAACTGTCATTATCCCAGAAGATACCAGAAGAATCCTCATATGGAGTTTTCCTAGTACTAACTGCATCATTTTCATTAAAAATGGGAATCACTCTAAGATCTAACAACGAGTTAACTGTTTCAGAAAGCTGTTGTCTGAACCCAGTATCGCAAAAAACTGAATCTGTCACTAGAAGTTGGGAAGAGGTCACATCAAGCTGCAAATCAACAACAATTGAACAGAGGAAGAATTTGTATCTGACGTTGATATAAAGAGCTTTTAGATGATCATGCAATTCTTTTATTACCTGGCTAAACATGGTATCGTAAAGAGCCATGAGGCTACTCTGCCCTACAGCTGCGCATGCCTTTCCATCAAATTCACCTTGTGGATTCTGAAGATCTGCAAAGCTGGAGAAACAAAAATATACCTTCTCAGGAGAAGCAACATTGATACATGATCATCTCACAAGATTCAATATGAGATTCCACATCAAACGTCACTTGGAGGGGAACAAAAAAACATTAGATATAAAAGTGTGAAAATTCTCTTTAGAGGAGAGTTGAGCTCAGAAAGGGAAAGCCCAAAAAAGACATTAGGTTGAGTGGTTACAAATGGGTCCAACATGACCCACCATCCTCTTCCAAGAGGGTGAAGTGGGAGATCAAGATTTTATATTTTTATTTTCTAAATTATTCCTTAGATACAAAGAGGGGATCAAAAAGGGAAACACGTGTCACAATGGCATTGGCCCACGTGGGAAGGATTGTGGTACAGAAACAAAGCAATAGAGAAAAGGAAGAAATTAAAGGAAAAGGGGAACTTAGAAGAGAACCTGCTGTTAGCCAATTTTCTGTATCTGAGCCTTTGGCGACCAAGACCGACAGCCCCTGATGTGACCAAAATAACCTCGTACCCTCGAGAGTTCAACTCCTTCAACTGTTCCGCCATGAATTTGTTCTTAATCTCAAACTCAAAGGCAATGGATCTAAAATATTCCCAATTAAACCAAATATAATCACCTGCTCACACAGAGCCCCAAGCCTTCCCAATGCCAGTCGCCCATCTCCACGGGTAACCACAGCAGTCCCAACCTTCAGTCATTATCACAAACAAAACAAAACAAAACAAAACCTATTCAACAAAAACATTATTCATTGATTTCATTTGAGCAGTAAAATCGAGAACCCACATTTCAGGGAATGTGGAGACGAATTAGAAAAGAAAAACAGAGTAGGATTTATGATGGGTACCTTAACCACCAGACGCTTAATATTTCTTATGAAAGTTCTGGTAGGATCAATTGAATCCATCGGTAACGTATATATGGTCGAGAAGAATAAAAGAAAGAGAGGAAACCGGGTCGACTCGGGACATACGAGGCGACCCAGACGAATCAGAAAATTGTAGGAGCAATAAAAACCCACAATGAAGCAGATGCATTTGAAGTGGCATATGTATTTATATAAGGCGTAGAGAAAAAGTGGGGGAAACTTCATTTCAAGTATACTTTGTGGAGAAATTGAAGGCACCAAAAATGCAACTACTTCGAAAATATGAATGGATTCAGTTGTTTGGATTTATGTCCATACATACGTCAAACAATATTTATTTAT